CAATCTAGAGTTGGGCCTATAAAGAGTGTCCCTCAAATAAGTTTATTTGAAAAATCCCTCGATAGAAACTCTATATATATATATATATATTAGGTTTGGTTTTATCTTGTAATTGTAAATGAGTTTGACAACCCCATACCCAAACACCCATACTCGAAACTAGGTGTCTCTTGTGCATGCCATGTCTACGTGTGAGCTGGAAGTCGAAGCCCCAAAAGATCTCCGTGAGTTCACACCACGGGGCACCACTTGGACATATTATAGTGATGACAAGGAGGAGGACAATAATATTTTCGGTTTGTGGCTTGTGCTTGTGGAGCAAGAATACAAGACTGTTTGTTGTTTGTTTGTTTGGTTACAATATCGTATTCAAATCCAACAGAGAAAAAGATGGGATGTGTTGGATTTGACGAGTGCGTGGATTCAAATCAGTCGTATATTCATTTTTAGCACAAAAATTATAAATAAATCTTATACTATTTAATTTTTATAAATAAATTTAAAAATTAAAATTAAAAAATGACAGCTGTCCTTATTAAATTTAATTTTAATTATTAAATTACTTTGATGTCCTATTGAGTGTTTTGGTCTTTTTTATGAGGTTTTGGAGTTGAGTTTGTTTTAAAAAATTAATGACAGTTTTATAATTTAAAAGAAGTTAAAAATCTTTTTGTTATGTTGTAAATGGGCTTTGGGTGTGTTTCTAAAGTTCATTTCATATAGGTTTTTTTTTTAAAAAAAAATTATTTTATAAATAATTTTGACTTCTATATTAGGTATAATAGCGAATCTCCCATATGAATTTGACTGTGAACAAGTGGAAAATCTTAAATAGCATGTTTCAATTGATATCATTTTGACGATTTATCGATGATAACTATGTGTCGGTATAAAAATTGGAACAATTAAAGTCTAGAATAAAAAATAAAATGACGTGGACTATACCTTTTCTTAATGTAATTTTTGTCATAAATAGTGTGAATGAAGTGATTACGTAACAACCCAAATTAGCCAATAGATACATGACACGTTTAATATGTTCATACCAATATAATTTTCCTTTTCAAAGTTTATATTAATTCATGTAGCCCCATAATGAATTGTCTTTAGGGTGTGTTTGGACGTAATTTTGGTAGTGTTAAATGAGATTCTATATATGAAAATGTTCATGCATATAAGATCACTAGAATAGACAAAGAAAAATCTATATGTTTTAGATAAGGGGAATAGAAGTGGTTCGAATCCTATGCGCGATAATATCGGCGAAAATGTCGATATATTGACGATATTTATGTGAATATGTGTTAAAATATCCATACTTCAAAAAAACGATAATATCGCCGATATTATTAATATTTAGTTCCTTAGAACACAACTTTTAAATGACAACATAGATAGGTTGCATTTCGGAGTAATAACAGAATGATGAAAGAAAATAAAAAAGTTGTGTGAAATTCTCAATTTGGTTCGCATATATTATTACTTGTTCAATACGACAATAGTTCGAGTCCTGGTTCTGGTATCTTTCCCTTATGACTATTTTTCTTAAACAAATACAGATGCAAGGACTGGGAATAAGATAACAGAACTGGATATTCTTATTCTCTGGCCTTCCTCTTCCCTTCCTCTTCACACAAAAACAAAGTAAAAACCTCACGTAGTATGAACATTTCAACAAGCCAAAAAACAAAGCAGAGGTCTCTGGTTTCATATACATCGACAAAAGCTGTGTGGTCACAAATTTGAATGCACGGACCTGAAAATTATCGCATGACCGCGGAGATCACAGCACAACTGCCCTAAAAAAAATTATGAGGCAAAAAAACAAAGCATAGGAAAGAAGCAACCTTGTACCTGGCTACCATTTGATTGTGAATCGTTTGAACAAGTGCCACACAAATCCAACACAAACGCAACCTCTTTTGTTTCCTGGTGTTTTGCCATTAATTTTTACGCATATCGATTGAGTTAGCATTCTTTTCTGTGACGCATGGCTTTGAGTCCACATCAACCTTCCCGGCCAATAAATATATGATCAAAACTCTTTTGAAGTAAAGAAATGGTCAAAGTTTTATATACTTTAAAATTTAAAACAGTAAGCCATTTCCTATTGTGCTCTATTTTCGTCTGCTTCTGCAATATATATGGGATGTAAGGTCAATCGGTCATTTTAGTCAGTGATGATGATGCTGCAAAATGTGTAGCATCATCATGCTGCAATGTGAACACATGTGTTTGTAGATAACTACTGAGCTTGAAGACTTTCCATTTTCCAGTCTCTTTCATGAACAACCAGTAATTGCCAATTTGTTTGTATTTGCATGTAGGTGTAAAACCGATTGCGTAAATGGTGCTCATCTTTCTTTTTCATTCGATAATAATTTCAGTTGTTTGTTTGCCTTTGTATAAGCGATATATGGATTTATATGAGCTTTGCATAAGATCAAGATAAGATAACCACTCCAACTACTATATGGTAAAAACAATAATTATAAAAGAAAATAACAACATAATGTGACAATTGTTTAGTTATCGTAAAGAAACGAGGTTCAAATGTGCCCGAAACATTTTAAAAAAATGAACAACATACGGTCTTGAACCGGGTTCGGGCGTGACACATACTTACTTAAATGCATATGGTAAAGAAAATGTTGCCCATATTGCTGCATATCTCTTTGCAGCTTAATTAACTGTTAAATATCGTTCGCATTTGCACCTCATCCACATAGCTCCTATCAGAGCTCTCAAGCCACAAACCAGATTGCAACCCGATGATAGTTTACGCACCACTATATTGCCTTGATTATATTGTTCACCATTATCGGTGAGTAGTTGTGGGGTTCACATGGAGTTTGGTACTATTTTTCTTCCTCCATTATAGCCGCAATGTACCTTGTTCGTGTAGTCAGTTCATGTAACAAATCCTTCTGAATCTGAACAATTTAGCCACCAACATTTTCCTCTACTTTTTACACTTTTGTGTGTATGCATTGCATACATATAGTCAAAATTGAAAGAACTTCCCATATACATTAGACATTACATGTTAGCTCCACATTCAATGGATTTGAACATCAAATATATTAATTTGTTTTTTTATTTTATGGAGGGAGATTGAACTCGAATGCGACGGTCAAGACACACAACCTAAATGAACTGAAATAACTCACATTGGTGCATTTGTTTTTTGTGGTGTATAAATATATGTAATATGTCTCCAGGGTTTAACTCATGATTAGAAAAGTAACCACAAACCATATAAATATTGATTAATGTATATAATATGTTTTTTTTTATGGAGGGAGATTGAACTCGAATGCGACAGTGAAGACACACAATCTAAGTCAATTGAAATAACTCACGTTGTTGCATCTGTTTTTTTGGTGTATGTATATAATATGTCTCTCCAAGGCTTAACTCATGATTAGAAAAGTAACAACAAACCATATATATATTGATCAACTTTAATAGACTCCAACATCTCACATCTGTGACTTTTCATTCATACAAGTCGGATTCATGTTTGACATTTCTTTACTTTAGCTTTAGAGATTGTGGCTGATTTGCTAACTGCGTTTCGATGATGGCAAAAATTTGTACTTATTCAATGTTGGGCCGAGGCCCAATACATTGCTCTTCTCACTAACATGGATCATATTTTATTAATTTTGTGCTTACAAATGACGTAGACCATCCAATTGTCACTACCCCATGCAAGTCCAAGTAACCATTTGTCGATAGATCACACGACCTGTAAAACAAGGAACATTTTTATGTTCGCAGAACCAACCACCACGATGTCTTCAAGCATAGATTCCCAGAGCAGTCATATCCTGTAATTATTTCAAATTTTACTCTTTTATCGGTGGTCTGATGATGTGATGTAAGTGGAAAATTTTCAATTCGTGTACGTATGTGTATATATACAATACAATGTATATGGGCAAAAATCAATGTATAATACTAATGGAATGGACCCTTCAATAATACGAGTAAAATTATATTTTATTAATATATATACAATTTCTGATATAATTGGTAGAAAATGAAATCTTACGGAAAATATCCTAGTTGATTAAATTAAATTAAATGTATGGCAATGTGTACGTGGTGTGTGACATACATGTAGACTGTTGTATATTGAAGAGTGAGTATTGATCACATGTGAAGATATGATGGTCCCAAACCTTCATTGCAATAGACACGTACCCTTCTCGGTTGTCTCAGAAAACAAAAGACGAACCAATCAGTTTCTGTTTCTGGATATTGACTGGACCAGCGTTATCCCCACAAAACGTAACCGTCGGATTAGCAGACTCTTTGTTTGTGATGATCGGTCCCCCATGCACCATGGAAAATTCAAAGCATAGGCATTGCAGCAGCTGATCGGCACCACATATGATGGGATCGGCCGGAGGGTTTATTGATTGAGCATGCAAAGAGTTCGAGAAGGAGAAAAACTCTCGTGGAAATGGGATATATCGAATATTGGGATTAATTATTGCTTTGCACACCCCCAACATCAAAAATCATGCACGCATCACGAGGGTAGGAGTTTTAATTCATTGAAAGCAACTTCATGATACGTATGCCAAAGCCGAAAAAGGCCCTAAGCAAAAAGAGATTAATTAATGTATAAATTAACGAGTTCAGTAATAAATATAACTTGGGGGGCTTCATAAATAAAAATACGTACATAATACACAAAGCACACAGAGAGAGAGAGAGAGAGAGAGTAAATTAGGGTTCCTTTTCGGTGCCACCACAATACCCCTATTGAATGCCACACGGTTTTGTTGAGGCGCAGAGAGAGAGAGTCTAAGCATAGCTGACTTTTGGCAAAGGAGGGCAGTGAGTAAATGCTGTTTTGCTGTCCGTTTTGACTCTTTCTTCTACTTGCTTTGGTCAGCAGCACTCATCACTCTCTCTCTCTCTCTCTCTCGTCTCCCTCTATATATATACGTATATCTCTACAAGACAAGCCCAACCTAGATGCCTGGACGCTTGTTTATGCAATCTTCCATCACTTCTGAGAAGAAAAAGCAAAAAAAGAAAGGAAGAGGGGCAAAATAAGAGAGTTTCGTTCCATTTCATTTTGGAGTTTCATCAAAAGAAAAAGGAACTCTTTTGCAATCTTGCCTCCTAGCTTGTTTTGAACTCAATCTTGGCTTATATCAGCAAGATAGAATTGAATTTCATCATCAATTTGAAGAAGTAGCTAGAGCTTATAGCTAGTTGTGGAAATTTGGAAATTATGGGAAGGCCACCTTGCTGTGACAAAGTTGGGGTGAAGAAAGGGCCATGGACTCCAGAGGAAGACATCATCTTGGTCTCTTACATTCAAGAACATGGTCCAGGGAATTGGAGATCAGTTCCTACCAACACTGGTAATTATTTTATTTACATAAACCCTTCATTTAGATTTTACACTGGTACCATCAATGCATCTTTCGTATTTTTATTTACCTTTCTTCTTATAGTAACTGGATTTAATTTGGGGTTGGTTTTGATCATTAAAGTCATGTAATTATTACCCAGTACTGTTTTTTTTTTCCTTCTTGAACAAAGTACTATTCCCTGCAGATGCATGTTGTCAGATTAATTGTAAATATATATCTTGACAGTATTTTTTGTTTTTCAGGTTTGCTGAGATGCAGTAAGAGCTGCAGGCTTAGATGGACAAATTATCTGAGGCCGGGTATCAAACGCGGTAACTTCACCGATCATGAAGAGAAGATGATAATCCACCTCCAAGCTCTTTTGGGCAATAGGTAAAGACTTGCTCCCCCATCTTTTTTTCAAATTTGGATGTTTGTTTATTTATTTTTTGGGCGTGAATTTTATTGATTACACTTTTATAATTTTATTATTATCTTTTGTTTATGGATTTTGATTTGGATATGGTGGGGGTTAGATACCTGCAAATCCCAATAGTGAGATTATATTATATTATGGGATAGGATAAATGGAATTTAATTTTTTAATCTTCTTTTTTATTTCAATCAGGGGAATTTTAAAAAATAAAAAAAAGGAAGGAACCTCAATTTGATGATTGAATTTTTTTTAATGGGTGCAGATGGGCTGCCATAGCTTCCTACCTTCCTCAGAGAACTGACAATGATATAAAAAATTACTGGAACACCCACTTGAAAAAGAAGCTCAGAAAGCTCCAGACAGGGCTTGATGGCCATGACCACTGTAACAGCCAAGATGGTTTTTCAGGTAATTCACATGATCAGCCAATCTCCAAGGGCCAGTGGGAGAGAAGGCTTCAGACTGATATCCACATGGCCAAGCAGGCTCTTTGTGAGGCTCTGTCCCTTGACAAGCCACCTACTCATGATCTTCATTTGCAAGACTTGAAGCCATCCATTAATCTTGGTTACAACAATAATGGTCAACCTAACACAAACACTTGTTCTAGGCCTCACCAAGCTTCCACTTACGCATCCAACACCGAAAACATTGCGAAATTGCTCGAAAGCTGGATGAAAAATTCACCAAAAGGACCTTCATCAGCTCAAAATCATAATCAAACAAACTCAGAAACCAATCTTCATCAGATCAGTTCCTTCAAAAACAAGAAGAACACAGCTGCAGGTTGTTCCGCGAGTACTTCTAGTGAAGGGGCACAAAGTGCAACCACCACACCAGAACAGGCTTTTGATTCCTTGTTCAGCTTCAACTCATCCACATCTGATGTGTCTCAATCTATGTCAGTGGATGAGAACAATGCAAATTTCACAGCAGAAACAAGCTGCCTGTTCCAAGATGAGAGCAAGCCCAATTTGGAGGGACAAGTCCCTCTCACATTGCTGGAGAAGTGGCTCTTTGATGATGCTGCGCCTCATGCTCATGAAGACCTAATTAACATGTCATTAGAGAACACATCCGTCTTGTTTTGAAAGAATAAAAAAACACGATCAAGTGCTTCAATTAGGGTTTCTTTTGTTTTCTCTGGAAATTAGGCTTTGTGCTTTTAGCTAGCCTTGGTAGTATTTCTTTTGCTTTTAGCTTTTTGCTTTTTCTTCTAGCCTAAGCAGAAAGATAACACCCCCTTAATGCAGGAACAGAAAAGTGTAAAGTCAAAGTATATCTATATTTACGTATCTGCTTTTGTTCTGAAGAATAATGAATTAAGATGTTTTTTTTTTTATGGTCGCAATTTTCATCCACCTAGAACAGGAAATCCTTGTAATTTACGCATCTTTTTTTTGGTAAATCCATTTTCTCTCCTTTCTCACGCTTACCCATTATTTAATGTTACGTTAAACACTTTTCCCTCAATCTACATATATAGGCAAGCGGTTTAGGAATTCAGGTACGAAATACGCTAAGTGTCGGCAAGAGAAATAAAGTTTGCTGCAAATAATCACTTGCTTTGTCTCATTGGTAGGTTCAACATTAATAATCGCATTAAGTTTGTTTAAATGTAGTTTGTCTAGTTCTAAAGAAAATATAGAGAGACTCTGTAGCTGTACTCTCTATTATTGAACATTTATATACCATATCTATTGCACTAGATAGTGCCAAAACATCAAATTATAGAATCCTTAAATAAGATATTTTATTTCAAAGAAAAACGATAGATTACATTCATAATTCAAGCCGTGATATCTAAGTCATATATGACAAGTTCTAATCCTAAGTTTTACTTTATACAATTTTAGAACCTTATTAGCTCTGTCACTAGTGACTCTAGACGATGTTGCATAATAGTTAGTAAAATGTTTCCTTATAAAACAACCTAAAAATAGGTTATACACTACCAAAATCAACAATCCAACAATCTATTTTTTAAGTCTACATTTATAGATTATCCTTGCAAAAAATTAGACAAATCGGAAACCGTTTCGACATCCAATTATATCCTACAAAATTAATGAACACGGTACTAAAATTAATTTCAATAACTCAATTGAGTGGTCAAATAATATCGGATTCAAGTGATTTTTTGTAGAAATAATCTTAGAATGATTTTTTGCTAATTAGATTGAACTATATGTAGTTTGATATATGTTAAAACTAAAATAATTCAATACATGTAGCACAGTGACACATCAAAAATAAATTTTTAAGTTTGACATATTTAAGGAGGTAGTTGGATCTCAATTTAAAATAAACGCATGATACGTAGGAAGAAAACTACTTCGTACGTTGGATCTTAATGACAATGTTGCAATCATAGAAGGTTTAATCACAATTAAGGACCGAAAAAATAAGAAATTTAGTAGACCAGTGATTTTCCTAAGTACAGTAAAGTTATAAAATTCTCAGTTATGTGGCACTAGATGGTTTTCCTCTTCTACTCAACCTAATTTGACTTGCATATAATTGAAGTTGGAAATTGAAATGAAACCATTCAACTGGTGTTAACTCTCAATGAGTATCATCCAAAGCTTATCTTTCATTGTCCAATTAGCATTCTCATAATTAAGTGGGTTTTTTGAGAGCGAGACGACAGAGGAAACTCTAAAGCCAAGAATTGCCTAGGAAATATTGAAAATGGTGGCCTTAAATGCACAGCATGTGAAGGGTTTGACTTTTTCTCCGTGATTATTTTTTAGTTGGACTTGCTTGACCACCAGTCCCTCACGAAACCTAAACTGTAAAAGCTTTTGCAGGAAGCTGCAATGTATACTGTGCATAAGTTCCTCATGAAACAGTGCTTTTGGCTGCTTTTATATCCTTTCCTTTTAAATTGGCATTATAAGCAACGCATATGAAGCCGAAATTTATTGAAACACAGCTAGCTTCACAGAGCCACAGGCTGCTCAATTCTGCATGCTTCAATTTTAAAGCTACAAAATTTACCTGCTGTGCCTAATTTTTGACAGAGAATTAGCTTCATTTCAAAGGAAGCTTCGTTTGAGACCAACCAAACATTAAAGTGGTGCATATGCGTGGACCGTGGTAGAGTAATGGGTTTTAAAGCCAAAGTCATGAGAGCCCATGTTCCTCGCCAGAGTGACAACCAAGCTTGCTTAAGTTCTTTCCTTTTTCAATTTAATACTCTCTAATTGATTACTCACTTAGACATTATAATTTTCTTTTTTAGAATGTGACTCTAACACCATCTGTCATGTGATGATATATCAATTCATGTAATATAATATGAGTGGACGATAATGGTAATTTATATTATACGACACATCTTACGATGGTATTCACATGTGACTATATTACAATCGAAATATCTTGGAGTGTAACAATCACAATGTCAAGCAGCGTTATTCAAATGTTATATGCAATTAGATAAAACGAATCTAAAATATAATTTAATATATATATATATATAATATGAGTTTATTAGTAACACCACATTACAATAGATCTGTCGTAATTACAAACTAGGTATTCTTTTTGATGACACAGAAATTTCTCCCTTCATTTGGTCCATGACACTGATCTCACTAAACTTGCCCTCCAGTCCAAAAGACGACAAAGACAAAATTTCCCTATCCCGTCATAAAGAAAAGAAGTGGGACGTATTGATTAAAAAAAATTTCTCTATCAAATAGAGAAATTAATTGGACAAAAGCATGTGCATCTTTAGACAAATGGGCTTTGACATCGCAACCTAAAACCTGAATTATGGAAATCATGTGGTACAAGTTTCACAAGTATAGATCGATCTGCACAAGCCACAACCAAGGTGGCTTGGTCCCGTGGGAACTGGGGACCATGCCTTATTATCTCACAGTATTCTTATGTAAGTAGGGTCTGCTGAGCTTTAAAATTGTTCTGTTTCATCACCATAAAAATGGCCAACAAACTTATAAATCATATTCAACTCATGAAATGCAGCTAGCCTAGAAGTGGTCACTATTAATTCCGTCACTAAAAGAAGAAAAATAAAACTTGTATATTATTTTGCCTCTACTTTTGCCCACTTCATATCTATATCAACTCTGTATCAACTATTATTTATCATGTCAGATGCATTATTAATTTACACTTCTGCAGTGTGTGGTGTGTGCTTATGTAATCACATCAACAACAACAACAAATAAAGAAGGGGAAAAAAAATACATGCTTTAAATGTTTTTTTTTTTTTTTTATTTCCTGCCAGTTAGGTGAAACTAGATGTTGTAAGATATCAGAAATGAGAGAGGGAAAAAATAGGTAAAAACAAATATATGATTTGGGCTCAGCTCATCTTTTTGATGTTTTTGGTTCAAAAGAGGCCCGTGGTGAGAAAGGAAGAAAATATGTGGTAGGCTATAATAAGGGGTTATAGTAAAGGGTTATAATGAGGGGATTCTTATTGTAGAAGCTCTCAAAAAATATAGAGTTGGGTGTTGAGGGAAGTGTGACCAATGATTTGGGTGTGTTGAGAGGGAGGGAAACTCTCATGTAACGGGGATAACACTTTTTGTTATCCCCGGTCAATAACGTAATGACACGTAGGATAACTTTTTCACGTGTTATTATGTTATTGGTCGATAGCCGAAGATAGCAAAACAGTGTTATTCCCGCTAAATGTAAGTTTTTTTTTATTGAGAGGAGTCTACTGGGGAAATAGATTCAATAGTTAATGGGACTCATGAACATGTATTGGCAGCAATTCCTTTGAGCCATTACAAACCCAGAAAAAGAGGAGTAGATCACTAGGAAGTAGCCCAATATCAATTTGAAACCCAATCTCAATTTAGTCTTAATTCCTAGCCCAACTTAACCCTAAATCTTGTTCACCATTAACGGTCCAACCCCATTTTCTATTGTTCCTCAAACACCCAACCCAACCCAACCCAACCTAATACATCAAGGTAATTACAAAGAAGTTGTAACTAATGGTTTTTCTCCTCCTACATTCACAATGAGATAGGAATTACAGAAATTCTCGTTGGGTCAAGTCCTCATCAAGTCTTGGCCCTAATGGAGGCAAATTTTGAGAAAAATCAGGGCAAGTACGAGGTTTAAAATCCCCGATCGGGTTCAATTTCTAATTTGCAAGAAAATTGAGAGGGGGTAAAATTAAGAGTGAAATTCTTTTTCAGGTTGACTGTATCTGTAGGTGCAAACAAAAAAGTGATAATTATTAAGATTAATGGATACCAATGACACATCAACTAGTATAATAATTAGGAAAATGTTTCTCTCCTTACCAAGTAAGTAGGAACTCCTACATTCTTGCTAATAGCAGTGTGACATGTGTGCATAAGTTTTTCTTTTTTTCTTTTTTATGAATTATTTGTTCATATATGTTAAACAATGATTTGTAGGAATAAGGAGTATCTCCTTACCAGTAATTAGGCAAGTAGTAAGAAAAGAAAAAAATAATGAATTCAATTTGAACTAACAGCTGTTGCACCAATACAATTATACAGGTTACGAAACTCTGTTAGATTCTCAGCTGAACAACCCCAAGAAAATTGAAATTAGAGAGAAAAAGGGACCGTTGAGGGACTAAAGGGAAAAAAAACCTAAGAAAAGAATGGTTTCCTTTGAATTTTGAGGCGTGATGAGCCTTTGGTTCCAAGGAAGACATAGGCCTAGGGCATAAGACGAGGCAAGCAATTGGAGCAGTAAGACTGAATTCCAAGCAAAAACTTAAAGGTAACATAAGATAGAATAGCATAGGATGTTGCTGGAACATAGTGATATATATATATTCGGAGAAGCCACTCATGATCGTGAAGCCTGGATGTTGTGTACAAATCTAGGGATGCTCGTTCCAAATACAGAATGGTGGCACCGCATCATCCCCGTACCCTTTATCCCTAAACTTGCTCTGATTTCCTCAAAATAGCTCCTTAGTGGGCCGTATTGAACATCCCAGATGCAACTGTCAGTAGATTAGGTCGTCCGTGAACACAATCACCTTCTTGATCATCTGGTCTGCCTTCAAGTTCTCATTCATAGCCACTTCCAGAATCAATCAAACACCTCCAAATCTTATGTTCCTTATTACATTCCACGAAGGAGGTCCTCACGGATCTCATAAATTCGAACTTGGACGTAAGATCATGTCCTTGTATCAAGTCTAGCTAATATTTTCCACCGCTGTCTTTTAGCATCTTGATTTGTACCACTTTGCAAAACCCAAGCGAAGGTGCCATTTAGCAGTGTAGCTCGGAAGTCTGAGTGTCGTATCCACAGAGAGCAGTGTAAAGAAAATAACATAGTTGAGACAGAACAATTAAGATTGAGAAGTAGATTTATGCAAGATTTGATTTAAATAAAATT